CGCTGCGTTTTTCAATTGTTCTGTCAGCTAATGCCTTTATCTGACTGGGTATTTATCTTAGCAGTTCAGGGTTCCTAGTGTCATAATAACGAAGGTGGTACAGAACTGTATACAGTACGGTCAGTGAGATCGATATATTTCAGGATAAACGATCTCCATGGGACAGAGAAGGTAGTAGTTTTTTATCTGATAAAGAGATATTCCGTCTTTTATGTAACGCAAGTTTTCATTACTGTGATCACAAGAGACTACGATTGGGCAGTAGCTTGAGTCACATGCTTCCAGTTAACTCTATCTTTAAGATCAATTTTAATGTTGTCCTTTTGTCTATGGCTAAGTCTTCAAAATGATCTTTATTTCCAAGTTATCCTAATAAATTTTGTGTGCATTTTTCATATCTCCTTTCCATATAACAATCCCCGCCTGTCATATCGTCCATGATTTGTTCGCCCTAGTAACTCTGTGTGAAATAGGAGGCAGAGTCAGTAAATAGGTCACAAATAGATATAAAACGTAAAACATGTGATATTCGAAACTGGAAAAACATTTGTTTCTCTACATATCCTTCACCAACATTGATACGCTTGTACCATCGCTTTTCCAGTGGATCGAAACTCAGCATAAAAGCCTTTTGACTGTTGTCTCAGCCACTTCTGCATTTTGTCGGGTATCATCTGTGGCTGTCAAACGTCATTGAGAGAATTTCTCGACTAGGATGTGAACCGCTTTTCGCGACAAACACCTCAAACAGTAAAAAAGAAATATTTATTTATAAATATCCTTTGAATTGAGTCCTTTTCCTGTAATAGGACGCAAAACAGAACGTTGCTCTTCGGTAGTATACCCCTCAAGCACGGTAGCCATTTTCACTACTGAAACCAGCCTCTCGACATGCGCATGCGCGTCTGCTACCTAGTGGTACATGTTTCGCTTAGTGGGGGGTGGAGTCCAACTGGGTCCACTCGTCACGGCGGCCAATGATTGACCTATTGTAGGCTGCCCCGGGTGTTTATGATGATGGAGAATTTGGTGGAATGAAGATTGGCAGGTGAAACTGAAGTACTTGGAGAAACCCTGCCTCAGCGCCACTCTGTCCACCACAAATCCCACTTGACCAGACCCGGGATCGAACCCTGGCCGCCGCGGTGGGAAGCCAGAGACTAACCGCTTGAGCTATGGCACGGCCCAGTGGTAGAGATAGTAAACCTATTGCGTCCATTATAGCTCCCATACTACCATTTGCGACCTATTTACTGACTCTCCCTCCCATAAAAAGTATTGATCACCTCACTGTAATTTTTTCTTCAGCCTCCTGTCACTCTTGTCTTCTATGTCAAAATGTTGTCCTTAGCACCCTGATTTGAAACGCTCATTTGACTAGGACTATGGTCTTCTGGGTGTAAGGCCATGTAGATTTGGCATACAGGTGCCCTTCTACCATAATACAGTGTCACATCCTAAAGGACCCAGTTATTAAGTGCCGTTAGAGCCGCAGTCACGATTTACATTATTCCCTGGAGCCTGCGAACCAAGTTTCACACGTATACACATAAGAGAAGAGGTAAAATTACAATTCTTTAAATTTTAAATTTCGGATACTTAGAGAAGACAGGAGAAAACACATGTTCCTGAACAGAATCACACGTCATAATCTTGTATTCAGTGGCACTACTGCCATCCAAGCGCAATGTAAAAAAACTCCGTATCTTTTAGTCCGCAAGAGAACTATATCGACTGAGCGACCATCACTTGTCGGCGAAGTTAATGCCAACTTTTGCGGATAGAGGGTGTCGCGTGGTCAGCGCAACGGATTTTCCCAGCCGTTAATCTCGGGTTTCTAGACGGGAGCTGCACAATGAAAACTAAACAATAACAGTGACTAACTCTGTATAGCAGATTCCTTTTTAAGAAGCTGATAGTCGCCCAGATGGTCACAGAATTCCTTCCTTTTACGGAGCCGGAGGGTTCATTGTCGTGTTCAGAAGAAATTTATAATGCGGAGAATAGGCATCAGTTAAAACATTTTAGTCTTTACTTTATGATGATTGTCGACAAATCCTTCGTAGCATCACTCCTCTGAAACAGCGTATCGCAGCGAGGGATCAGTAGCCTCACTGATCAGAGAACAAGATACTTATATTGTTCCGGTTCCGTAGGACAGAATGACCGTACCATTGTTCTAGGCAGTGACGGGTGAGCCGCCGAAGCTTATCTGTGTCGCGAATGCTGGCCGCGTCAGAATATGTTACAGTTCAGTCGTGTGCACCAGAACCGACAGCTAAGTTACATGCCAGTGCAATGAAGACGAATCGGCTGTCTAGCAGCCATCACAAAAGGATACTTATTGCATGCAGATTTATTGCAATGTGTTGAACTTACGGGAGGAATAAACAAAAGGATAAAATCTCGAATGTGTTACTTAGAGGTAGAAAGGTAAAGTTGTCCCTGTGCTTAACTAAGCACTACGCCATGAAGACGTATGAGGGAGTGGATGTGTAGATTCATATTTTCTTGACATCGGCACTAGTTGGAGGTGAGTTTTCAGTTTCACGTTCCGGCCGCTTTACGCCAGGGAAAGAGCCCCCGGTACCTATTGTATAGGAGGTTGGGTGGACTCCAGAGCCGGTCTGGACGACATGGAGAATTGAAAATTCTTGATCCTACCTTGACTCGAACTCCAAATTCTCCGTCGTCCAGCTCTTAGCTAGTTCCTATACCGACTGAGCAACCGCGGCTCCTATGCTCTACTTATAGACGAAATACAATATCGCGACGCGTGTGGAGTGACTGTAGACGATATTCGGATTAATGACCAGATGTATTCGACACTTTAACACAAAGCTCGTGATTACACTTTGCAGATCACTGTCACGTACAGACTACGTAGTGTTATCACTGTGTTACACTCTCCAATAGCCGTTGCTTGGTAGCGGCTTTCAACGGCGGACGTTCTCCTTCCTCTGGGTTCCCGAACTGATCCCTGCCTCAGCTACCAGATTCTCACAACAGCATACAACGACTGAACCCCAGCAGTCCTCTCACTCACTCACCAACTAACTCTTCACTTCACTTAACGCAACTCAACTATTTCTAACTGTCCTATTTATAATATCTCGGCACGGACCACACAGAAAACACCTCTCCAAAAAAAATAATAATAATAATAATAATATTATTATTATTATTATTATTATTGTTGTATCCAATTGTTACCGTGGAAACATGCTTGTTTGCAAAGCCGTTGCTCGGTAACGGCTGTCTCTGCTGGCTGCACAGTTCTTGCCTTGAAGAAATATGCCACAGTATTTTATATTAAATGATGTCTGGAAAGAACGTGTAGCCATCTAGAATTGTAGGCATACTTTTTCGTTTTGTTTACATTTTTATTTATTACGTGGGTTGGACTGACGCAGCAATTAAAGTAATTGGTTTAGTCTGATCATATAAATCCACACTCCACTGGGACTATTAGAAGTAAATTGGGACTACAGAAATATTACAGTGCTTCATTTGGGCTGAAAGTATACGAGCATTTCGTTGGGCATGAAGTCAGAAATGTGAGCAGAAGGCAATTTCTGTTCCCATAAGTCAGGTCTAGAAGGGGAAGCCGGTGGAAGTAGGTCCTAGAGCTGATGGCTTTGCAACACATTAGTTACACCGACTACTGACAGAATAAAAGTACACACAGACATCCATGCCTCATGTGGGTTTCGAACCCACGATCCCGGTATTCGAGCAGGCGAAGACAGTCCATGCCTTAGACCGCACGGCCGCTGTGGTCAGCTTTTGTGGAATGTAACTTACTAATATTGCATTGCCGTCTATGATATTTGAAATTGTCAACACGCGAAAGCGAGTGTCAGAGTCCTCCTTGAGGAACCATCAATTTCCCAGCTACACAACAAATTCCAGTACTTTATAGAACCCGAAAGTTCATTTCAGTGTTCACAAGATCCAGTTATTTACTTCACTAATTAATCAGCTGTCGTCATCAACCAGAATGTTAAATTAATACATAGTGCTCTCTGCTGCCATGTTATTTACATTCCACGAAAAGAGCAAAACTCTAACAAAAGTTGCGTATTTTTCGAAGGCGTATGGTTTGTAATTACACGACTTTTACGACGGCATATTAAGTGTCGTTAACTCGTTTCCGCCTCATAAATTCTCACGGTCGCCGTATTTATTTTATGGCTGTAGCGAAATACGAATTACGGGAGTAATGGCTTGGTGCTCATTTCTAGTATCACCAAAATCCCTCAAATTATAGTAGAGTTACTGTGAGGCCAAGAAAAGGACGTAATGGCATGATAACATTAGCTAAGCGTGTAATCCGGCACGAAAGCAAGTTGGACATTGCGGCTCAAGCGCCCTCTTCACCCAGGGACCTTCACTTCAGCATTCTGTTGCAGTGTCAGACGTGGTAGTGCTGAGGGTTCTACAGCGTGAAACCTCTATTGTTACAGTAGATACATGAGTAAATATAACGCAGATAAAGGCACTGAAGGTTTCTTTCTTAATGAAACAAATTGGGTTTATAAAATCATCACGTTTTCTGTGTGTTCCTCATTTCAACTTCCGAAACAGATGACAGGTTTTCAACTTCTTCGGTGTGATGTCAGACCATTAGAGGACGTCGTAAATTCGCACGCTTTAATTTTATATAATTGATAGTAGCAACATGGCGGACACGCAGATCAGTGAGATTAGAGCGGATTCTAGGACTTAAAAAATTTTCCAGCGTGGGGTGGCCGTCGAAGGCATTACGTTTATTTCAAATTTCATCAAGATCTATTAAGTGGTTCTGGAGCTGAAACATACGGATAGACTGATGTGTTCCCTTTATGCAAATCGAGCAAAGAACTCGCGTAACACTACAAGGTCACATTGCCAGATATTCTCCGCAGTCTATACGGCTTATTAATATATTTACAATGCTTTAGCCGTTATACTAATATTTAGAGTGTATTTACAGAACTGTGCTGTATTACTGTGTGCAGTGTTCCGTATCATGTGGAGAGGGCGAACAGACGCGCAGTGTCCAGTGCAGGGATGCCCGCAACGCTCCGAGCGCTCTGTGCGACCCTGTGTCCAAGCCCATAAACTTGCAGCTCTGCAGGACCGGCATCCCCTGCCCTATCTACCGCACTGGCTTCTATGATTCAGGTAACAACAGGCAAATTGGCCTCTGCTTCATGTACTTGTTCTGTCATAATGTTGTATTTTAGCGTCCTGTTGCACTGATTTTCGTCCATGATATGTATGCCGTGTCCGTCTTGTAGTGCACTCAATTTCACCTGTTATTTCACAACATGTTTCGGCAACATAGCGCCATCATCAGGTGCTCCATTTACGTTAATCTATTGCATTGCTTGCCATTATGTCATTGTAAAATTATTAAAAAAATATTTAAAAATATTCGTCAATTATAATAAATTTTTATACACTAAAATCTTGTTAAGATATTCATCTTATATGTCCCAATTCAAACTGCCCATGGTTCCTCCACTATGGGAGTCCTTCCGCTTATACTCCGTGTATATCGTGTCTCGTGATGTGTGTTCCCTTTTTGGCTGCGGGTGATTAAGGAGGAAAGAAACTTGCATACAGTGAGCAGCAGAATCATGTTTAAGGAGGAAAGAAAACCGCTTTAGTGTGAGCAGCAGTATCCTTAACCACAACCTGTACACCTAAAGATGGCCACTTAGGCCGAAATACGTAGTGTCCAATAAAAGAATACGAAGAAAGAATAGTGAAAGTAGTTGCACACAGACGGCATAAAAACACCAAAAGTCAGATCAATACAGTGCAAAAGGGTGCTGAAATATAATATTAAGGATATATACTGTTTGGACATGTGTTTTCATAGCTTATACTCTCCGAGTAACCGCAGTTCTCGGTATTTAGCATGTGAATATGAAGAAAAGGTATGACTGGGCTGAGAGAGGGCCTCGCGTAATTTCTTGGTGTTTTGTTTTATCCTCTGACTGCAGGTTATTATTATTATTATTATTATTATTATTATTAGAGGGGGTGGGTTTCCCCATGCACTTAGACCAGTTATTGATCCATTATGCGTCCCCCCGTAATTTCTACTGTCGCCATACGCTACCGGTACTGGTGCGTGCTATCAGCCCCGTTCAGCCAACGAGGTCGGCCGTCGGTACCTGATATTTCCCCCATCTACCAGAGGCATTGGAATCTACTTGGGCGGGAAATTGTTGCCTAATTTTGCTCAGAGGTCTCCTAGAGACATGAGGATCTTTTACGTGCCGTAAATCTACGGCACGGGACCCACGGCTTAAAGTCCCTCCCGGAGGACTTGTTCCCTGAATTTTTCCGCCCTTAAAATTCCGCCGGGTTTGAACCCACGCACCTTGAGTCATGAGGTGGGAACGTTACCCCTAGAATACTGAGGCCGCCGGACTGCAGGTTAGTATGGAGCACAGCAATTGAATAGTGATTTGCAAGGGTAGACGATGTTCTCGGAAAGAAACCTGCCCCAATAGCATTTCATCGATCAGTGATTCAACGTCGACCTGGGACTGAACCCGAATATCACTAGTAAGAAGCTGGTGTCTGGTTCCTGAGCCATTGGATGTCTGAAACAGGAAACAACAGTAGCATTTTACCGTATACGAAAATATTATGCCTTACAGAAATACTGAATTATTAAATTGTCCCGTACATAAATATAGTAGACAAAACCTACATTTATCGTTACGGGCTCAACTCCTTGACGGTGCCAGACCTGGCGTCGATGGTAATGGTTCGCCGTCCCTGGTATACACAATGAGTCCTGGTGCATTTCCAAGCACTTAATAATTCATACTTCTCCCACGAAGTCTGGGAAGTGTACGTAAACACATTCTGGGTAGGAAGCAACGAAATGCTAACGTTCTATTTGCCTAACAGCTCGGGTGCGTCTCCCAGAGCGCAGTTCGTGCGATATCTCGATTTCCTACAGTGCGATAAGAGGCAGCCATGAAAATCTTACGCACTTAATTCAGTGTAAATTGTTGGAGTTTAGGTATTTTAATCCATTAGGCCGATTATGATAAATGACTTGCTGCAGTGTGGATTATAATATAGCATACTTATTTTTTATTAATATTAACTTATTTAATTTTAGTTGTAGTTGTAGTTCGTATTTGCATTGTATTCATTTTGTGTAGTGTGTCCTTTATTGCTTGTTTAGTTTTGTATCCTGTGTTTTGTTTGAGTGTGGTGTGTTATTTTGTGCGATATATGTTATTTGTATGTTGTCTTATTGCAGTATCAGTGCCACCGGGTAAAAACGCACTTGCAGTTCAGATAAATAAGTAAATAATTCTTGACTATGATGTCTGGAATATCTTCCCTAGATAATAATCAATTATATGAACGAGAAGTTTTAATTTTTGATATATATAAAGTTTTGGAGAATAATCCTTGCAATTATCTGAAAGGACACTCAGAGGGCTAAGTAGAGAAACAGGTAAAGTAGTTGCTTTTTATCTTTAAGAAAGGAAGACGCTAAACGCACACTGCCGAATCGCCCAGGGAGAAAAATACGGGGAATAGAATTTTTAAGTAAAACATTGCTTAACATGAATGGTGAATTAGTATATAAAAAGGCGAAAAATAAAGCAAATCAATTCCTCTAACAGGCCGTGGAGGCGCATAGGGTTGTCAGACGTCGAGGCTCCCACTTTTTTTACACAATCGACTCACAGGTGGCGGTGAGGTTGTCGACCTTACGAACCGGCCGACCTTTAACTCCAGGAAGATTCCTGGCACTCTTTTCTTTTAGAGGCTGATCCGGCACCAGGGTTATAATGCATATGCAAGGATTAGGTCAACTGGATAATCTGATGACCTAATCGGGAATCGAACTCGCGACCTTCTGGCTTGTAGCATAGTGCCTCAACCAAAGACTTTACCGCGTGTCCCGAATTAGTATATATAAGGTTAATGAATTACACAAGCAGGGTACGGATAAAGAGTGTATGACAATAGTTAAACAGAGTTAAGCGCAAAAAGGAAAACAAAGTTAGATAAATTATTAAATTATAGATAAGAAAAGTAAAGCTATCCCTGTACCAGGCCATGAAGGCCCATAGGGTTGTGAGACGTTGAAGGTTCCACATTATCTAGACAATCGGTTCAAAGATGGCGGTAAGGTTGTCAGCCTTACGCGCTGGCCGCGCTTTACTCCCCAGGGAAATTTTAATTCCTGGTACTCATTTCTGTTGGAGGCTGAGTGAACCCCAGGGCCATAGTGCGGCCGAAAGGATTAGGTCAATTGAAAAAATCCAATGACCTCATCGGTATTTGAACCCGCGAACTTCCGACTTGTAGCATAGTGCCTTAACCACTACTATAGATAGTAAAAAAATGTAAAAAAAAAAAGGATTTCATACATAAAATTGACTGCACATTGCAATATCCGGGTGTTAAACGGTGTACAGTTTCTCACAACCACGTATATGAAAGAAATCAACAACACTGAATTTATTAGTTTTTAAAATAAACGATATATTTGTTTCACTAAGCATCATTCCCTGCATGGAATGATGTTTCAATTAACCCCTTAAATGACCTTTCTAGTTTATATTTTACCCAGTATAGATGCCAAGCTTTTTCAGTCTGATTTACTGGGAAACTTCCGCTTCCTCTCTCACAGTTGAGGATCTTCAGCTGTCATTGTTAAGAGCTTCATACGGAAATCTTGGAACTCATCCTGACTCAGATCCGACCACATTTATCCAGGGTAAAAGACAGACAACCGATGATGGCTATCAACAGCTTGATCCGTCTCTTACGAATCTTATCCAGACCTCTTGAAGCCAAGGATTCGATTTTCTGGGCAGACGTTCCGTCGAGTCACCGTCTCCTCCGACAACCGGAGAATCCAAGTGTACCCCACGTCTGCTGAGTCCCCATTCGATGTTGCCTGTGTGTGCTTTGTCCGTCGTAATAGTTCCTGGTTGGGTGAACACGCTCTGATTGTGTGACCTGATTAAAGCGTTTCGCAACATATCGTAATATGTCGTATATATTAATTTATTCGGGATAGCGCAGTCAGAATGTAGACTGGTCATGGGGGTGGATTATCGGGTTCTATTCCCGGTGAGGCCAAACTATTCTCCTATCGAATTGCCACCGGGATGGCTTTCCGTAAGGGAAATGCTGCCGGGGTATGAAGCTGAACTCGTTTCCATCCAGAGATGCATGACGATGTACGTCCACACATACGTCTTTATGACAGAACTTAATTAGGCCTCAAAAGCCCAGTTGATTCTGTACGAATGTAGCGTTATCGCTGAACTTTTGAAAAGGTGCAAGCTTGAGTTGGCTGAATTTAGCCCGCTGCTAGTGCGCGTTTAAGTGCTCCTTGCTGACCGTTTTTTATGATAAATTGATGGAATTAACTTTGTTTTTATCAGAAAAGAACATAGGGTCGCATATTTTATAACGCAAGATTTGAAATTTTTATGCAAAAAGGTTATATTCTACTTTCAGTTTTTTCCTTTGAATTTGGATGCGTACTGTAAGGAAGGTTTTCCGCTTCTTCATAGAGTAGCTCTGAATTATAAAATCATTCCTTCTTGTAACTCTTGACAGATTTTCGCAGTCCCTGATGCCATAAAACATTTGGGAGCAATAAAATCATTTGGTTCTCTGCTGGCAAGTTTTATATCTTTATTACACTCTTCATATTTTCGAAACTTTTGACTAAAGGACAGAAAAATGAAAGCATAGCTATTCAAGAAAATGCTACAGGGAAGAATTCGATGGTCCCTACTTCAGTGTTAATTCCTTCCATTGTAGCTGCAAGAGATTATTGCCCTTGTGTGGTCGCTAACAGACAGTTGTATCGTGGCTGAGATACAGAGTGCAGACTCTATTCTGTGAGTTCATAGTGAAATCGAATACTGTAGTTTCATTTCATCCTACAATGGCAATGAATCGTCGTTTGGAAAATGATGAAATTGAAAGGCAACTGATATTCGATGCTGGTTCGGACTTCTGCAAAAAAGTTGAAGATTTACTGGGTCTACGAAGATGAGGATGACGAAGAACTCGTGCATCCATCTTCACCATCACTATCATCGTCATCATCATCATCACCATCACCATCATCACCATCATCGTGAGGACCACCACAACAGTATGGCAGGAGGGGTGCGAATAATTTTTCTGGTGGAGCAATTGGGTTAAATCTCAACGAAGCTCCACACGTGAATAAGGATTCCACTCCACTCTGCGTGTTCCTGTTATTCTTAACAGGAATTATCAATCTGCTGGTGGAACATCACTAGGACCTCGACAGCCTTGAAGACGGATATTCACCACTCCCTGAGTTTACCAATTCCGAAATGTTTCTTTTTCTAGGGATCAATATCCAAGTGGGCCATGATATTGGAGCTAGAATAAGAGACTACTGGATGAATGCTGAGCATTTTCTCGCTTCCTTTTACAGTAACATATTGAAACGCGACTAATTTCTTCACAGTCCTCGCTGCCGTCTCTTTACAGACAACAACGCAAAAATGACAGACAAGCCGACAATTGTGACCGACCGGAAAATTCGGACTATTTTTGCCACTCTAACTGACGGATACGAAAAATATTATAATCCTTCGGAGTATTAGGTTGTTCACGAAATAATTGTAAAATTCAAATTTCAGTTCAGTTCCTTTTACTCCATTTCTGAGCATAGGGCTTTCACGAAGCAGTTCCAACAGAATCTGTTCCCAGCCAGGCTCTTGACCTCTCTCCAGATCTTTCCTCTTTCTCTGGCCTCTTCTTCAAAAGTTCTCCGTCATGCCTCTCCTTCGCTGCCCCTGGGGATTGCAGTCCAGGTAAAAGTCAGGTAAAATCTTCAGACAGTACATTCCTAAGAAACACAAACATTTCGGAATCAAAATCTTCAAGCTCTGTGATTCAGCAGGCTATACATACGGCATGAAGGTTTACCTAGGGAAAGACAGGACACGTGTCCACCAACATGTGACAGCGATGCATGTAACAGTCAGGGACCTCTGCAGAAGGATCGAAGGGGTCGGGCACAAACTGTACGTGGACAGTTTGTTTTAATCGCCAGACTTGTTTGACGAACTGACGACGAAGAAATAGCTTGCTGCATAGGAACTGATTTTATACTCGTAAATATCATTTAGATGGATTTTCGGTTTCAAAAAGTTCACATGGAAAGTTTTACGTTACGGTACAAACTGTTTTAAGTGTCTCTAACCGGTGTGTGAGAACATGAAATTGTACATGTTCCAACTTCCAGGTAAGGAGCAGTTAGTGTACGTTATAAGCATCTTTCATTACTGTGATGCTCACATTTAGTAGTCAGATTGTTAATTCCAGTCTTCTTGGACAGCTTGTAGCTGGTAATCATGGCCGCGGTCTCATATCTTACGTAATTCCAGAGGAATGTAATAACATCCGGTTGTATTTACGAAATCTCCCGCCCTGCACAAAACTGAACAGATCCTCCGTACATCAGTTGATGGTATGTTTCAGTAGTGGACGGACAGGAGCACCTGCCCGGTTTGGACCACACGCAACCCCTGGTGCAGCCGTACCCACCTCCACCACCTGGGCCTTCCCAGCGCGCTACGTATGAAGGCCAGGTCTCCAGCGAGCTTGTCGTACCATCGGAATCGACGTAAGTTGCTGTTGTTGCAGAATACACCTACTTATATCATGTTTGAAGTCGGGTATAGGACGCATTAAGTACTGCATCTATTTACGTTATTGAAGTCGTTATTTTCGCCGTCGTGAAGCAGTTTCTTGCGGCGGAAGTACGTGTATATGTATACCGAAATTGAACCCCAACATATATAAGCTCTGTTCTAGCATTTAAAAATTCTGGGTAAACTTTCATGGAAGCCTACACTTACATGTGAATAATTGATATTCTATTTGCGTGCCATATCCCCATGCATTGGTAATAGGCTATATTCTTCCGTCCTTCCCCCCATGTCTCAGAATAATTACAAGTAAACAATTCTGTACACCAATTTGAAAGTTCCTATTTCCAGAACATGAAGTTTAATGTCTACTGTATGAAGTGCTTAGCTTTCTTTTCAGTTCACGTAAACGTTTAATGTTGCCTATGAGCAGCAAAGATATTACTATTCTCGTGGCGTCCCTTGTCTCTGGAAAATGCAGAACATTATTTTGAAATGTCATAATAAGAGTCATCATTTGCCGATGTAGCAGAGTACTGACTTTTGTACACCTACTCTAGCATCAGAAACCTCTGCATTTTTTAGGAATCGCGTTTGTGTATTTCATATGTTAATCAGAATAAACAGCAAATATTTCCCCAAATAGCAGTAACCATTTGATATTTGTGGTCTAGTGGTCAGCGTTTCTCGCTACAGATCCAGAGGTCCGGGCTCGATTCCCGGCACTACCAGATTTTTTCTGAGAAGTAGTGGGTCTGGAACGGGGTCCACTCAGCCTCGTGATGATAATTGAGGAGCTATTTCAAGGAAGTAGAGGATCCGGTCTAGAAAACCAAAATTAACGACCGCGGGATTCGTTGCGCTGACCACGCGACACCCTCTATCCGCAAAAGTTGACACTAAACTTTGCCGTCAAGCGGCGGTCGCTCGGTCGATATAGTTCGCTTGCGGACTAAAATCACGGAGTTTGTTTGTTTGTTTGATGAAGACGCAGTATAAATTTAATATTTAAATATAATTTACATTAAATGTTCAACGAATTTTGAAACGAATTGAATCTGTTCTAATTACACGTACATTTCTTGAATTTTAAATTCTGTCGCTGTGTATGGCAGTTCGTCTTAGGTTCTATCATTGTAAGCAATTACATTTCTTTAACGCCTACGCAACGAAAGGCAGCCCTTGTGGAACGCCAATTATGTTCATGAACTCAATCCCTCCGTCTGTCTGTACACACGAAATGACTTGAGGACCACTTTATGAAATTTAATGTTGGAGAATTCTACTAAAGTTTCGAGCCATTTCAATTTCCATTTAGATCGGACAAGTTTAACGACCAGATAAAATGTAGACCTTTGTGAATTTCTGCCTTTATGTCCCTAAATATTTATCCAAGATAACAACGTTTCGAGCAAAAGTTTTGGACCGAATTTAAACATACATTTTGTATTCCATACACTTTCTCTGTAAGCATTAATTAAATTAAAGAAAATTTGTATTACAAGTAAAATTCCTTCGAATTTCCATATGAAGCAAACAACCACGACCTTCAGAACACAATCGAAATTTATAAATAGGTAACAATAAAAAATCTTTACTGATTTTAAAGTCTCTTGAAGTCATATTTGTTTTGTTTTTTTAATATAATTCTTTATTACAATACGACTTTGAATCTTGTATTAAACAATTCGAACTCCATTATTTATAAAGCATTCTAACAATAATGTATTTCACTCGGGATTATTGAACTTCTGGGCTTTGTCCATCGTCTAATATTCTAAAAGAGTACAACGTTTCGGAAATTGGATCTGTTTCCATCCTCAGGTAAGAAGGTTGGCAGGCAAGCATCTACTCCTTTGGGCCCGTCAGATAGAACCAATCTCAGCCACTGGACCATCCACAGTTTGAGGGTAGCTCCATGTTACGGACTCAATTAAGTGCTCCCACACATTTTCACATGAAGATGGAAACAGATGCAGCTTCCGAAACGTGGGCGCTTTAGAATACTGTAGGGTGGGCAGAGTCCAGGAACTCAGTAACCCAGAATTTAAACCCCAGTATCTGAGATTCTTTTGGAACATATAATAACAGTGAACATTGGAGCATACTGATTGGCTACTCATTCAGCAGGCGTGTACAGTTTTGGATTCTCCCCAACTTGAGTATCATAACCTGGCAATGAACAGTTGCATGTGAATTTAATGTTTGTTTATTGTAAGGGAAAGGTTCATTGTAGCGTTAATTATTTAGTTGCTAATATTTTCTGAGGAACACGCCTTTTACATATACATGTATACTTTCACCAAATTTTTTCCTTAAAAAATAAAAATGGTTTGAGAATTATCATCCAGCCTTACTGCAAACACTGCAGTTCCCTTACAAAGATAAACAGGTTAATACTGTTTAGGGAAATAATCACTGTTTATTCTGAGAATTATATGAAACACTAAGTTCATTGTGGCTGCAGAGAGCGGAATTTTATGTTAAAGCAGGAGGTATATATCGTTGCCAGTTTGCTTGTAAAAGCCTTATTATCGTGACTAGAAACGTACTGTGGTTCTATAAGCAAATGACTTGTAACTACTGATAGATCATGCATATCAAGTGTTGTACAGAGGATACTGTAAACGTGAGAGTTCTGAGAGTGTCTGTTAATCGGAAGAAAATCATACGAAATGTAAGTGTGATGCCGGTATTTGACTTGTTTATTGACAGACGGGAATTTTTCATGCGGAATTTCCAAGGAAATGTAAAACAACTTCTTATGTATCTTGTTATGACTGACTCGCTATTCATGCTGTTGGATATTAAAAAATATTTTAGTTAGGTTTAATATCTTCTATATTTTTATCGTCCAGGTTTCGTACTAAGAACACGTCGTTTCAGAAGCTGATTCAGTTTCCAACTTCAGGTAAAAATGCAGAACCTAATATGAGGGCTCCGTTATTAGGAGGTAGTGTCCGTCACTGTTCAAAGCAACTTCTGCGTGTGTATTTATATCGTGGCCTCCTCCACTATGGCGCTTAGATACTAGTACAATGGATGGGATTAAAATTGCGAAGGAACATGGCGGTTCCATTTTCAACATAGAAGTCACGTATCTCGTATTAAAATTTCAGAATGCATCAGATAATATTTAATTTCAGTGCCACTCTTGAATAACGAAGAAAAAGCTGTAAATTGCTTTTAGAACCGATATACCACAGTTTTAATATTACGAGTAAAAGTATGTCTTCTAGCCGTAAACAAGACACCCGCTCTGAAATTAAAAGTTAAAATTTCCGTTGCTTTTAGCCACAGTGCGTCTCAACTGCATCATTGTGTTGCACATATGAGTATCTCCAGGATATCTCTCAGACAACCTGTAGCGGCGTCCACTTCTTTACAAATTATAATATTTTGCTGATTTATTACAGAAGGATTAGTTACTATCCGGTTGAGGCCGGGCCATAGCTAAAGCCGTTAGTCGCTGGCCCGGGTTCGATCCCAGGTCTGGTCATGTGGGATTTGTGGTGGACAAAGTGGCGCTGGGGCGGGTAGCGGTAGCGTAGTTGGTTGAGGGGCTATGCTACAAGCCGGAAGGTCGCGGGTTTAAGTCCCGATGAGGTCATTGGATTTTTTCAATTGATCTAATCCTTCCAGCCGCGCTATGGCCCTGGGGTTCACTTAGCCTCTAACAGAAATGAGTACCAGGAATTAATTAAATCATTTTCCTTGGGAGTAAAGCGCGGCCGGCGCGTATGACTGACAACCTTACCGCCTGACAACCTTACCGCCATCTTTGAGCCGACTGTCTATATAATGTGGGACCCTCAACGTCTCACAACCCAATGGATCTTCACGGTCTGGTACAGGGATAGCTTTACTTTTTTATGTGACGTATCAGATTCTTGCAAGATAAACCGTGGTTAAGAAAGCTATAACATTTGATTTGAAATTCGTGTAAGGTATTGGAGCGGTACGAATGAAAATGAAAATTCCCCAGTCAGGTTTTAGTTCAGACTCCCAGTATCATATTTAGTCTACAGGTTGATCCACATAAAACAATATCCAAATAGAGACTAAGGGCCGTAGGGATCCTCTATGGGCAGCTTCCGAAGATTAATTCCCTGACCTTCCGCTATAAGCAGCTTACATTCAGCACTTTTTTCTATGTACACTCATTTATCTTTTTGTTCTGAGAGATGTAGAATACAGTGTCTTAAGGTTTAAAATTGTTCATTCTGTACATCCGTTCAGTAGTGTTGTGGACTATGTATGCATGGACAAAACCTCCCATTACGCGGTAATTTTATGCACTCAATTCCTATAACGCGTACTAATACAGTATGTATATAAATAATATGTAGATGTCTGTAATACAGAAACATGTTCATAGATGGAGTACAGTCAGGTAGGGAAAATTATCACTTGTTAAGCTCACTGTTTCTTCAGCTTTATGTGGTATTTTCTTTCTAATATGTGATCATAGAGTAGACTGTTTCACTTCACTTTATGTTGGCTCAGTAGAACGCGCTCAACAGCAACACGGAAATACGTCATTAACACAATTTGTTTTGTTGCTGATGTTGTGAAGCCGCTTCTTCACATTCAGTGTATGTGTGTTTGTGTTTGTGTAGCCTTTCTTTTCTGCAGTCTTCAAGCACAACCTAAAGGCCATCTTCCATTGTGGTTTTTCAGCCATTTCGAAATGTTCTTTGCGTGTGGCTGGTTGTATTTGAGGTACAGTATTTACTTCTCATGATCGGGGCCTCTTTCACTTCACTCCACTCAGAGCACAGTTCTCTCTCTCTCTCTTATCCAGCACTCACTCAATCTCACTTGCCGGGTGGCAGATGTTGGAGGGAGCAGCTTTGTATTGTACAAGTACTCGTTCTCCACCCGGGATATGGCTGCTGTCTTTGGCAGGTTCACAATATTCATTGTAGCTAAAGAGGCGATAGAGGTAACCACAGTCAGACGAAGGAAATAATTT